GAAAGTACGAATGTACGAAAGTACAATATAATGACCCTCAGGTAAACAAATCTGTTAAGGATATACAAAACCACTGGCCAACGATATTTCACAAAAGCTGCCTGTACGATCATTTTAACACAATAATGCAGCTTGGTGTTTAAAATTTCAAGTCAAACTTTGAATCATCTAAAGCCAAAATAAGATCGTTTTTTTAAATTCAAAGTGAAAAGGACGAACTTATTTTCATTGCTATTTCGAAATACTTCAAGGAGAAGGACGAGCTCCTTTTTTAATTTTATAGGGTATATAAATATACTTACATATGTACATATTCTTGTAAAAGACTTTGATAATTACTTTATCCATTGTTTCAGTTTGGGACGACAATTGAAGAAGTTAAAAATTACATAAAAGAGCCAACTACCTGGATTTCTATTATTGGTAAATATTACATAAGGGAGAGAGGAGTATATACCTACTCTTCCATCATTACTTTTATCCTCAATGCTTTGCATATATTCTTTAATACCAAATTTTTTTCTAGATACATCCCCAGAAGACGCTCTTCAAAATATATCGTTTATTTTTTTTTTAAAGAGAGATTACTTTTAAAGATAAGAATGGAAATTTAATTGATTTATTATTGCAGCTGCTTTGCTATTATTACATATTGAATATCGAATATCATAAAAATATATCGCAAACATGTGAATTTTTAATGCGATTTTTTTTTAAGTTCTATCCATCTCAAATACGAGGCAAAAAAGCATATTAATAATTTAAGAAAAATAAATACATTGATGCGAAAAATTGATGAACAAACATATGTAAATTAAATTTACATCTCCAAAAGACGTTCTTCAAAATATATCGTATATTTTTTTTGAAACAGAGATTACTTTTAAAGAAAAGAAAATTGTTTTTATGTTCTATCCATCTCAAAAACGAGGCAAAAGAAAGCATATTAATAATTTAAGAAAAATAAATACGTTAACGCGAAAAACTAATGGACATACATATGTAAATTAAATTTAAGCTTTTTTTATACATACATACAGCAGCGGTCAAAATAATAGCAGCAAAATTCGAAATGATGTTGTTTGAAACTCCTGTTTATTTATTTATTTTTAATAAATTTGCTTTAAAATATAGTTCGATCAACAACAGAAACCACAGAAATAAAAGTTTCAAAAATTTCACAAAGTTCACATAAATGAATGAAACTTCAAAAAATTTTCCTCAAAATTTTAGACTTCTTATTTAGAATATCAAACAACATCATTTTTAATTTTACTGCTATTATTTTTACCGCTGCTGTTAGTACTATAAATGAAATAAATAAATATTTTAATTGAAGAGAGAATTAAACAAGATTTTGGCTATTATTTACGGAAAACTAAGCACCTAGTGTGTAAAAGATAAGCAATTAGTGTGTAAATATAAACATCTAGTGTTTAAACTATTAGGCATCTAGTGTCTAAACTTTTGAACATTTATTGCGTAAAATTCTACAAAAGATGTTTAAAATAATAGTTGTGTAATTTTAGACAATTATAGTCGGTATGTGTTGCCTACCATTATCGACGTAAATTTGCCAAAAATGGTTTAGAGTGTAGGGACGTAATATTATCCACATGCACTTTGTAAAGGCTTTCAGAGCTACCAGGAGGGATGTAAGAAACGCAAACGAACAGCTGTCCAAAAGCGCCACGAATACGAATTCAATGGTCAATAAGAGAGTCCTGATTATCCAAGATTTTATATGAAGCACGATATTTACAGTGGACAGCGATAAGGACACTAGGGGACAACCCGTTTTTACAGAGTCGCTGTCTTTACGAAATACATCGTACAGTTTAAGATCAAAATATTCCTGGTCATAAAAGTCTGCGTTGAGCCTAGGGTCTACTATAACAAAGATGTCGCAATCTTGGTGCGAGCACATCATGCATACGGAATTGGCTTTAGTTCTGAGGCCAGAAACATTATGAAAATAAATTTTAAGATTTTGAGACGATTTACGAAAGTAAGAGGTACGATTAATTACGAGACCAAGTATGGATCTCCGGACTTTTGAAAAAAACTAAACGGCCGTACACTGACATTGGCTGGCCAGACATTAGGGGATAGAAGCTTCTCGTAATAGGATTAGTCTCCGAAGTTTAAAATTAATTTTCTTAAGAGTACTTACAACGACCTCTTTCTTGACTAACCTAAAACAAGCAAGCAAACTCTGTCTATCCGGTTGCTTATTAACATAATCAACAATATTTTATTTTTAATATTTTTATTTTTTTATTTTTTTTATTGAGCTTTGTACCACGATTGTTTATTAGGAAAAATTGAAAAGCGTCAGAAGCGTTAACCATTGAGCTATGTACATCCCGTAAACTCTTGTTGCTAATTCATTTTCCTTATTCAACCAACTACTATCAAGTGCAGCTGATTTGCCGCTATTTAAAGTCGACAGCGTGGTTGTTGTTGTCAATTCTATACATCCATTTGCTTATTTCCGCGCAGAGAGCAGCGGGGTCGGACGCTGCTACGTCTGGGTTAAAATGGCGCAAATCAGTCTGGTGAGCTGCTACCTGTCTCCAAACGACACAGTCCCTGTCTTCAGGGGAAAGCTCGAAGACCTTGAAGACGAATTGCGCGATATAACCGGCCACATAATTGTTGCTGGAGATTTCAACGCAAGAGGCGTGGAATGGGGTATGCCCCAAACAAACACCAGGGGAAGACTGGTCCTTGAAATGGCAGCCCGCATTGGCCTGACCATCATCAACACCGGAACGACCCCTACATATCGAAGGCCGGGTTTTGGATACTCTATCCCTGACATAACCCTGGTCTCAGAAAGCCTTCTTCGAAGGGCTGACGGATGGAGAGTGATGGAAGACCTGAGTGGTAGCGACCACAACTACATCACCTTCCAAGTCACTGACATCACGCGAGGGCAAACACGTAGTATCCCTCGCAGGAAACCAGGATGGAACCCGTCTAGGGTCGATGTTCGCAAGTTCGATACGTCACTCCTAGCAGATTCCCAAGGCATTTCACCCACAACGGGAGAGATCCACAACAGGGAGTCTTGTACAAGTGGTGATTAGGAATCTATCGCTGCATTCACCGGGCATGCAAAGCCTCAATGCCACAGAGGAGAGC